TAAATGAACAAACAATAATTGGTGGGAGTGGGGGTCAACCAAAAATTTTGGTTAATGGAAATATTAATGGAAAAGTTGTTACAAAAGAGAATAATGAAGGTAAAAAAATTTTTATTTCTCTAAAAATTAAGCTAAAAAATGCCAAAGTTTTTCTTTAGCCTCGAAATATTTAGAATTATTCTATAGAAAAATAATTAAAAATATTAAATATAAATAAATAAAAAAGAATTTTATTTCCTACATAAAATTTTATATTTTTTTTTGTCTTTTGTCAATTTAATTTATTAGAAAAAATTAACCAGAAGGTAACAGTTGTCTAGTAGTTAGTAATTTATTTTGTGATTTTTAAGATCAAAAATTATATTCTCATTTAAATTGTAATTAAATATTTTTTAGAATTTAGAATAAAACTTTAAAGCTAATTTATAAAAATTATTTTATTAAAAATTAGCATTAGACACAAACGGCCAACCTAACTGCTAAAATTAAAGTTGAAAGTTTTGAAAATGCCGGATCTGGTTTCAGGATTGTTAAATTTTTTTCTCGAATCCGGAAAATCCGGGTTTTCAAAATAGCCGGATTTCACTACCAGATCCGTAATTCCTGGCCGGATCCGGTCCGGGTTTCAACTCTAACTAAAATCAAGGACACCTGTAAATCGACAGACAAAACCGATTTCATCAAAGAAAATAAATTTTAATAAGCAAATTTCCTTAAGTTAAAGGTGCCATTTAATTAGAAATCGGGATTTAATCAAAAATTAAAGGAAAACTTGGCCCCAAAAATATGCCTTTCCAAAAAACCAAACTGATTAACACCCCTTTATATCCACTTCTAATTGCTAAATATTAATTTTTAGTAGATAATTGGCCTTCAATTAATTTATCTCCCTCAACTAATTGTTTACGTGTTAGTTCAAGTGGTGTTGATATAAGTAATTCCAGTAGTGGATTTAACGAAAATTGTGGTGGAAAACGTTTATATTCACTTGATTCTTCAACTTCAAATAATAATATGTCTGGGGGACGTTCAGAATTAAATAATTTAAAAAATCAACAACAATTTTTAAGTAAAATTTTTTTTTAATTTTAAAATTAAAATTCTGTCGAACCTCACTATAAGAGGTTCGACAGAGGTCGAGGCTTTCGCCCATTTTCTAGTCATGACCTCAGATCGACCCGGCCTATCTCCGAACCTCGCTCAAGGGTCCAAATGTGTCCCGCTGCTTGAGGCCTTCACCAATTTTCTAATCTTGACCACAGATCGACTTGGCCTCATAACCTCGGTCAAGGGTCCAAATTTGCCTCTACGCTACTTTAAGATACACCAAATACTAGGCAGACATAACTTTAAGATATTGACCTCGGTAAGGCTTAGCTTTGATTGGCCAGTTGTTAAATCTATATCATAGGTTATTTAAGAGTTGTCCAGCCCCAACGGTGTATTTAATATTGAACTTGATTAATTTTTTTCAATAGTAAAATAATATTTTTAATTTTAAAGTTTCTGACACAACAGAACTTAGACTTAAAAGAGACAGAAAATGGTGGAACAGAACCGCAGCTTCTTATTGTTTTCTCTTTATTTCCATTATTTTAAGCTTATCTGTGGTAATTTTAAATTATTTAAATTTAAAAATTCTTGTTTTTAAAGGTAATTGGTGTTTGTTTATTTTTACATTCATTTATTCCAAAAGATTATTATAACAAAAATATTATTAAAATTAATGAAAATAAAACAATAAATTCAACAAATAATTCTTCAAATAATGAAATAAAATTGTTAAAGGTTTAAAATTTAATTTTTTTTTAATTTTTAAAAATTAAATTTAGACTTTTGTTGAATCAATTTTAATATTATAAAAAAGAAAAAGATGAAAGTAAATAAATATTTTAATTTAATATTCTTCAATCATAGAGATCGAGCTGGGTCTTGACCAAGGCCTTGGTTTTTTCCTGGACCCAGAGTCCAGGCCCAGGCATTTTTTGACCTTCCTGGATTTTTTCTGGACTACAGACCTAAGATTTAGCCCAGGTCAATAAATCAAACTCCAGTGTCCAAGAACAGGCCCAGACTTTTCAAAAATCTCGATCTCTATTCAATCATTTATTTGTGTATGAAAGCTTTCTTCACGAATTTTACAAAAATTTCTTCCCAATTTTTAGTACATAAATTCCCTTCCCGGTTCAAAAAAAAGTAAACTATGTAGTCATTCTTATATTAATTTTAATGAAAAGGGTTTCCGGGAAGGAATTTTACGTTATTTTTTTATCAAACGAAACTGTAAATATTTATTGTATTTTTTTAGAATTAAAATATTTTTTTATTAATTTAACTGGCAATGTTGAGATCATCAAATTTAAAATAATTTTTCTGTTAATTTAAAAACTCTTTTTTGCCCCAATTTCAATCAAAGCTGAAGATAATGAATTTTTATTTCCAAAAATATCAGCTTCAGTTGATCTTCTTTCCCTTACATTATTATTTTTTAATCTAAAATAAATAAATATTTTTAAAATATTTATTTTTTAAATACCTTCTTCTACCCAAAAGTGAATTTATTCCAAGTATTCCTTTTGTCTGTTTATTAATTAAAGTATTACTGTACTTAGGGGGAACATTTAATGTTGTTCTATAAGTTGTTGTTTGGTGGTGAGGGAAAATAATTTGTTGTTTTTCTTCTTCCAAATGATTATTTATTTCATTTTGGAAGATAAATGGACGATAATTAAATTGTCTTGATGAAAATATACTTTAAAATGAAAAATTTTTTGGGGTAATTTTTATTTAAACAAAAAAATATCGGGCCAGGGGGTTTCCACATATCCTTAAAAATGTAACATATTCTAAACAATTCATGAAAACTGGTTCACCTGGCAGCATTTAAATCGCTTAAGTGAATATTAAAAATCCTTACAAGGAGAAAAGGGGCAAGGGAAACCCTTGTGAGAGATGCCGTAGTTCTGATTGATACATAAACCAGTAGTAACTAATAAGGTCATGTCTTAATTATTCAATAAATTACATAAATATCTAGATTACCTAGACCTTTAGAAAATATTTCTGTAAAAAAATATTTAAATATTTACTTCCATAAATGTTTCACAATTCCAACAACAGCCAATTCACCTGCATGGTTAGCAATCATACGAAGAATAAATAACTTTAAAAAATAATTATTTAACTGGATATACTTAACAAAAACCCCATCAGATTTTAAAAAATCATCAACAAATTTATCAATTCCATGTTGATTTGGTACTCGAAAAGGGACAAAAGAATGTCCACCTCCCTCAATCAAATAATCTCCCTCTTCTTCAGCAATTCTTGTCCTTTGAGGAAAAGGGGTTGATTGAATATTTGGATTAATAAATTGACAAGAATTTTCGGCTATTTGCATAAAACGTAAAATATAATCAACTTTTGCTGCATGTAATAAAATATTTGTTAACCAAAATAATGTTGAACAGCTTTTAATTTAAAAATTATTGAAAACATAATTTAAAGTAGAGACGATCGAAAATCTCGGTTATTGAGATCGAGAATCTTTCGAGATCTCGATTCTTGTACGACGCTCCCAGTCCGGTCTCTAATTTAAAGTACTCGAATTTCTTTTTACATATGTATCTCTTTGAGGCTAAGGAATGGTTCCAAAAAGAGGGCAGTTCCCCTTCTTGGACAGTTACCCTCATCTAATGGCTAACCAGGTCTTAAACAGAGGTTTACATAATTACTAGTATTCACTATATATAGAAGTCCTACTATACTTTTTAAAATTATTTTAAGAAATATTTACGTAGTAATACACAAAAGAAGGCAATACCAAAGCCAAAAAAATGTAAAAACTTTTTCATTAATTATATTAATTAAAAGAGCACATTGAACTGTGTATCTTTTTAAAAATATTTCTTTAGATTAATTTTAATATTTACCTATTCAAATTTGCCAAATAACGCACTTCAAAATCGCAAAGAGTTACTCTTGAAAGTTGGTCCTTTTTTATTTTTTTTTTGTATTTTTTTAAATTTTTTGAGTAATTAATAATCATGAATAGTAATATATACAGCAGGGGTGGAACCGGTTACCTGAAACCCGATACCCAAAACCCGGACTTTTTTCGACCCGAACCCCGATCCGAAGAAAGTTTTGAAAATCCGACCCGAGATTTTCAACACGTTCCATCCCTGATATAACAGCCTAACTACACTGGAAGACAACCATCCAAACTAGACCTCGATTAAGGTATATTTTCTAAAATTTGGTTAGATACTAAAAAGTAGCAGCTATCTAAACAATACCACCATTTAAGATTAACCTTATTATAAGGTATAATTATTTTGGCCCCAAATGTTTTATCAAAATATGAGGTTAGACTGTATAGTATCTTAAAATTTATATCACAATTTTTAATTTATTTTTAAAATTATTTCCTTTACCTTGGAAAGTGACCTGACCTGTATATTAAATAATTTTAATAAAATTAAGTTTTATTTTAATATTTTTTACTTTGTCCAAGCTTTTCCCTCAATCAAATCAGAAATAACTTGAAAACCATAAAATAAATATTCGTCTGATTTTAATGCTGCATTTAAAAGTGAAAATTGTAAAAGAATATTTGCCGTATAAAAACATTTAATAAATAAATATAAACAAGAAATTAGTTGGCCTTTAAGTAATCTTTAAATGATTTAAATTGAAAATTTCTTAAAATTTAAATTAGAATTTTACCTAGTCGGTCTAAATCTAGTGAAAATGGAAGCAGCCGGATGAGGACAATATTCTGTCTAAATTATACAAAAATAATTGTCAATATTATACTTAATTATAAAATTTAATTTAACACTTTTTAGATATCCACAGATTTTCTAGCCTACATAAAAAAATAAAATCCAGATTTCGGAATTGGGTCTACTAGGTATTAGAAATATCTTTTTTGGTAATAAAAAATGTTATAAAATAATTAATCTTCTATGCTTTTCTTCAATGTTTTCAAGATTTTTTTATTTTAATAAAATTAATATTCCACTCACTTCTCTCAAATCAATCATTTCCGTAAATGTTAATGCCAAGGCATGAAAAACCTTTTCTCGTTCGTTTTGGTCCAAAACAGTTCTAGCACCTTCCGCTGCGGAAATAAGATGGTGGATGTTCGTACCATTTTGCCAATTTAATAACCTCCAAAGAATGCAAGGCAAAGAAAAAGCTAAAGCTTGGGCAATTAAAATAAAAGGAACCTAAATTAATTGAAAATGAATATTTTGATTTAATTTATTTTAAATACCCATTGATAATAACCAATTTGTTGTCCTAAAAATTTTTTAAATTTTAAATGTATTTTTATATTTCCACCTTCCCTAGTTTCATGACTATCTGGAATATGTTCATACATTGGAACCCTTTAAATAATTATTTATCTGATTATTTTTATTTATAATATACCAATAAGTATTTTGTATCCAACAAAAAGCCTCTATATATTCTTCCATACTTTCTCTAGAATGAGGATTAACCCAACATTCAATAGGAGAACCTCCAAACTATTTAAAAATATATTTTTAAATTTTCCCCAAAATTACTTGTTTAGCAGAAACCACCAAACAAGCAATTGCCAGCATAATTGGCGTATAATAATAATTAAGTCTGTCAACAACATCATCGTCCCCTCTAAGTTTTAATGTTGAAATAAAAGTTCTTGCCAACGTTGCTTGAAAAAACATGTCTGTAGTTGCCCCAGCGGTAGCTACAGCTGCGGTTCTAGACAAGGGTTCGGTGCCTGTTACTGCTGCACTACAGGAATAAAAACTTGATAAGAATTTTGTTAGCATTGATTGTTTGGCACATACGAGAGGAAAAAAGAATTTTTTGGATTTTTTAAATAATTTATTTAACTAATTTAAATAGATTTTTAAATTTTTTGTTTAATTAAATTTTTTAAAATTCAATTTATATATTTTAAAAAAAATATTAATGGAATGCCTCTAGATTTATTTTTGGAAAGATTTAAAAAATATTTTTATTAAAAATTTTTTCCCATTTTTTCACTTTAAAATATTTTTTCTTTAAAGTGCCCTGGATTTGATAGCTTTGCTTAAAGTAATTGCTTATGTATTAAAAATAAATAAGTAGAAAATGAGTGTTTATTTAAAATAAATATATTTTTAGCTTTTTATCTGTCTTTTTTTAGACGGAAGTGAGGAATTAATACAAATACTTTATAGTAGTAGATGATTTTACCTTGGAAAACACGTTGCTTCCTGAATGTGGAATTAATAGATATTTAATAAAAAAGCGAGAAAATAAATATTTGTTTAGATTTAGACAAATTTTAAATATTTTAATGAAAAAAATATTTTGGCTCTGGTCTAGGTTATGCGTCCAATGAACTTTTATGAGTCAATGATACTTTATGAGTCCAATTGAAAGTTATGAGTATAAATTATGCGTATATCTGGGTATCAGGGTTCACTGAACTCACAAACTTTTTCATTGGACTCGTATAAGTTCAATGGACGCATAAACTAAACCAGCGCCAATATTTTGTTTTAAATTTAAAAATATTTATTTTTTATTTATTTCCATTATTTTTTGGGAAAATAACCAATTCAAAAATATTTTTTAAAAAAGGAGAGGAATGGCACACTTATTTTTTTGATTAAATTTTCTTATTTTTAGATATAAATTTCTTCTCAAAAATATTAAAAAGAGGTTTTGGTCATTTATTTTTTGAATTAAAAATTGTTTGTACTAAAATAAAATAAATTTTCTACAAAAAAACTGTGGGAATATTTTTTGTAATACGATTTTTATTAATAATCTTAATTTTTACAAATCCTTAGTATTTAATTGATGGTAAGATTTAAAAAAAATATGAGAATATTTTAAAGATTTTTTATAAAAAATACGTTGAATTGATATTAAATAAAATAAAAATTAATCTTAAGTATAATTGAATAAATAAAAAAAATAAAAACTTATCTCTTTGAATTAAAAATTTTTTGTAAAGTAAAACTATGTTATTTGAGTTGTACCCATCCACGTCCCCGAGTTTGTGAATTTGACTTTTTTTGAAAGCTCCCCGTCCCAACGCGTGGCGCTGCCTCCCCTAAAACCTTATATGCTATAAATCTCGCCCAACTTCTTATTAAAATTAAAACCCAAATATGATTTATATACTAAGTATGTATTTAATTTAAACAAATAAGGAAACAATAAATTAATATATTTATTATAGACAAATGATATCATTTTTGACATTTATTTTTATTTTTCACCTGTTTTATCACATAAAATTTTAAAAATTTTTATTGGGAACATTTCAATAAACTCATCGCTAAGCCATAAATTCATCTGATTATCGAATTTATGACGTTAATTATGACGTTAGTAGGGTTGTCGGTTCTTGGAAATTCTTCGGATATCCGAAACCAAACCGAAAAATCCTCGTTTCTTCAGTTCAGTTCGGTCCAGAACCGACAACCCTAGTTTGGATCATCTCGAATAGTTAAATCCAACAATACCAGAGTTTCCAAAATTCGATACTCTTAACGAAGGTTATAGCTTCGCAGATTAAAATAGAATTTTTAATAATTAATACTTACAGCAAAGAAGCTCTACGCCAAACACTTCCAACTGGTGTATCTGGTGGTGGTGCCATAACAAATAAAATTTTATAAATTTTTTAAATTAGCAATTTGGTTGTTTTTATTTAATAAAAAATTCGTGACAAAAGAAAACTTTTTTGACGACTAGTCGAGATTTAAAAAATAAAAAAATAAAAGTATATTATTTGTGCGTGCTAAGCAACGATTAATCAGAATAATTGAATGAAGTGGAGAATTGTATTAACAAAAAGAAAAAAAAATATTTTTAGAAGAATTTTGTATTTTTCTATTTTAGTTTCAAAAATATTTTTCTACAAAAAAATATATTTACTTTAAATAATTTTGAAAAAAAAATAAGGATTTATTTAAATATGTATATAATTTTATTATTTTTATTTTTTCCTATATTTTTTATCAAAAAATAAAAAAAAGTTTATTATTATTTTTTGTTTCGTTAAAAAATTTATAATAAATATATGTGTAAATAAATAGTATATTTTTATTTTTAATTAAGTAAATTTTCATGGAAAACGTGGGAAAATTAAACTAAAATAAATTTATACATTATTAATAAACATTTTCAGACATTTACATCCACTTTATAAGAAATTAGTAAATTAATTAAGGAAAATATTTCAAAATTGTACAGTTAAACTTTTATTTTAGACATGTAAAATTGAACTGAAACCCCAAACTTAAAAAATCAACCTTAAAAATAAAAATATTTTACCAGAAAAATTCTATTCAATAATGATTGCTGATATTTTTGTCGGCCCTTTCCCTGGTTAAGTTCGAGCAACTTAACAACAGAATGCTGTAGTTGCTCCGAAAAAGTTGCTTCTTTGTTGTAAAGTTGTTGAAGTGAGATGAAAGGAGTTCTAAGTCAAAAATTGTCAAATAAAAGGAAAGGGAGCCACAATTATTTTTTACGGTTTTATTTTTTAAAAAAGAGATCAATCTCGTTACTTGTTTAAGCACAAAAATATACTATGTATTTTAACATTTCTGCAAGAATACTTAAATTATTTAAGAAACTAAAATAATCAAGTAATTGAATTGGTTTAGTTGAAGTTGATCCATCCGCAGAAACCAAAGTTTTCCCGTCTAGTAAACCTCTACCAACTCCCACCACCAAAATACTATAAAAGCAGATTAATCATTATCTCATTAACTTAATCTCCTTAATTCAACAAATCTTTTAATTATTTAGGTATTGTGCAATCAGTATGTTCTTCTGTTCGTTTTGGCTGTTTTGGCTTTCAATTTCTTCATCTCTCGCTAATCCTGAAAAACAAGGATATGACAAAGATTCTATTGTAGTTGGATACGGCAATCATTTTGTGCAATTGGAGAATAAAACTGTCATTTTGAATGACAAAAGCTTGATTGCTGATAATATCAACGATGTTTTAGACAGTCAAGTTGAGAAGCATATCGATATGGACAAACCCTATTCTGCCTGTATTAGTGATCTAAATGAAGAATATATGTATGGTGTTTGATTAGATATTAAAAAATATTTTTTTATTTTCAGAATTCTGGAGTATGAACAAAAATGGGTTGAATGGAAAGGATGTTCTGTTGATTTAATAACAGAGAGTGATCACATCGAGTTTACTGTTTTGCTGTTGTTGAAGGATTGTATAAAACATGAATATTGCCAAATCGCAAATCGAGAAGGAGGGACTGTGTAAGTGGGTCTGATAAACAAGATTGGCGGATTCGAAAAAGGCCGGATATCCTAAAATTTTGATTCGGATATCGGATCCGGATATCCGAAGATCTCCAACTATCCACCAACCTTACTAATAAAAATAAAGAAAAAATAAATTTTGTTTTTTAGTCTGCCTTTTGCTTATGGTTTGGGCTGTGAACAATTCGTTAGGATCAGAAACAACAAAGGACCTCTTTATGGAGAAGGTTCAACATGTCCAAATAGAGATCAATGTAAAAAATCAGCAGGATACGATCCCAAAACGGACCTTAAAAAACCCGATTGCATGCCTTGGACGCCATTGGAGTTTGAATGGAGATGTGTTACTCCACACGATTCACATTCAAGTTTACTGGCATCTATATTCCCGGGTAAATTCTCTTTTCGATTAATAAAAGTTCTAAAAAATTTATTACAGTTGGTGCAAGTGAAATGGCTGCTGGCGTGAAGGGAAAGTTCAATAATCAGTCTACTGCCGTAAAAGTCTCTGTAAGAATCAACAAAGACAAAAGTATTGATATTGGGAATCTTGCAATGTTTTTGGACGATAAATGGGTTTTGACAGAAAAAGAAAAAATGTTGGAACAAGTCCATACTTCTTTTGCTTGTGTCAATTCAATTCTGGAACCAGAAATGTGGGAAATTGTTAATGCTACGAGGGAGGAATTTGAAAATAAAAAATTGTTGACTTTTTATTTCCTGCCAATGCTGGTACCTCGTCATCGTAGTGTTGGTATAATGAAAGGGCACAATGTTGGTACTGAATGTGATAATGTGAAAATTGTTTTTGTGAGTTTCTTTGAAGAATTTTAATTTTAAAAATATTTTTAAAGTCTCGTAAAGAATATCAAATGTTAATTATTGGAGCGCCATCAAATAGAACTGTTAATCAAACAGATGAAAAACCATTCTATAAGGGATTGCTTCATCCATTGCCAATTCGTGACAGTCAAACAACAGTGCAAAATAATGATGTTTTAACTTCTTCCAAACCTTCTAAAGGTAAATTTAAGAGAGAAATTTCGGGTAAGGGTATCGCAGTCCCAAGGTACCGCAGAGCTATAACTTTGTTCAGAATCGTCGAATCCGGGACGCCCTGGTATGGTTCGATGCGCCTCGGCGAGCCGAATCGAACCATACCAGGGCGTCCCGGATTCGACCATTCTGAACAAAGTTATAGCTCTGCGGTACCTTGGCCTGCTCCCGGAATTTCTAGTAAAAATTCAAAAAAATTTTTTGTAATTGTAGATAAAAGAGAAACTACAGAAACTACTACTCAAGAGACAACAACTACAAAAATAGAAGAGATTGTTGAAACTTCCAAAAAGGAAGAGATTGTCGAGACTACTAAAGAAGAGATTAGCAGTTATTCGACAAAAGATCCTTCAGTAGATTTCAATCAAACTACTTCAATTCCTTCAATCAGCACTACAAATGGGACGGCTATTGAGATTGTTGGGAATATTTCAACTGATAACTTCACTATTTCTTCCCCACCAACACCAACAGTAATTTCGTCTTCAAAAGAAACAACAAAAGAAGGATTTCCTTTTAAATATTTAATTATTGGAGGGATTGTTGGAGTTGTTGTTTTGTAAGTTTATTTTTAAATTAAATTGAAAAATCGGGCAGGATTCGAACCTGCGACCTCCTGACAGATTGCTAGGCGCTTTCGCTCACCTTATACAAGATCTCTCCCACTGAGCTACCGGGGCATCGACTCTCTCTTTTATCATTTTAGATCGTTTAACCCCGCCTAAGCATTTAAAATGCTGCCAGATGAATCATTCTTACAAAATTATTTTTCCATTTTAAGGGTTGCCATTATTTCTGTTGTTGTCTACATTGTTCTGGGAAAGAAGAAAAAGGAAAATTTAAAAGATACTGAAAAGAAATTGGATAAAAATAATCAAAAAAATAAAATAAAGGAAGGAAGAGGGAAATATTTAAATATTAAATCTGAAAGAGACGAAGGTAAAATTGTTGTGAAGAAGGATGATGATAAGAAGGAGAAAGAGAAGAAGGAGGAAAAGGATGAGAATAAAGAGAAGAAGAAGGAAAACAAAAAAGAAGATTTGAAAGAAAAGAAAAAGAAGAAAGGTCATTTTGATGAAGTTATTGTTCCAAATACTTATGAATCTAATGAGACAATTGAACCAATGAATAAAACAAAAGGAGATATTTATGAGACAGATAAGATGGAAAAGATGCTTCTGAAACATGATAGTGAAAAATCTGACGATGATAGTGACTAGAGGGAATAAATAATTAAAGAAAGGGATGTATAAGTATAATAAATTTCTGTGAATATATGTAATTCTTATGCAGAGATTGTAATTATTTTATTTGTAAAGGGCATTTGTAAATATTAATTTGACTTATCTTGTATTATACTCGAGATTTTAAGTATTTTTTGAACTTATTCAAAAATAATACAAAACAATTGTGGGAACTATGGGACTCATGAATTATTTTTTTATTTCCTTACCCTAATAATTTTTTCTTTCAAAATAAAGTTAAATGTGAGTGCTTTTGAACTAAAAACACAATTAATTTAGGAATTTATTTTTTTTAATTAGGTAAATACATTTTAAATTTAATTTTTTATTCAAAATAGTATAAGCAACAACAATACTTTTTCAAAGGAAAAAGTTTTAAGATAATTTAATTATGCCCGGTTCAGTAAACTTCGAACATTTCAATGTCAATGGGCCAAGTCTTAACAAGAGCTGCCTGAAATTGGATAATTAAAGTCATTAAGTAAATTATTTTAATAATCTAAGCAACAAGGAAAGATAAGGATTTTACGTTATTTGGATTACAGGCCAACAGTTATAAAAAATTATTTGGAAATGATAAGGCGTTGCAACCACACTAAATAACCTCCCCCTTTAAACTAAGCCTTTAAATAATCATTCTTAATCCTTAACTAATTTGCCCAGGTTTACTTTATTCCACAATGAATAGGCTTACCAATTTTTCGTAAACATCCTTAAAATAAACCAGATCATACTTAGTACCACCTAACTTTCGAGAGCGCTCCTCATAATTGTGTTTTCTTTTATTCCAATCCAGATATACTTTGCTCTAAAAGAAAATAAATTTTGTAATGTAGCAAAATTAATATTTTATGAAAAACCATTTTTTAAATCGTGACCGGACAATCCGTCAGTGGACAATCCGGCAGTGGAAAATCCGTCAGTGGACAATGCGTCAGTGGTCGGACAATCCGTCAGTGGACAATCCGTCAGTGAACAAATACGTAATTCCTACCCATGCCCAAACTAGTGCGTCCAAAAATTTTCATTTTTTCGTGTGAAGATTATATGAAATATCGAAAATTTGGAGATAAATGAGGAAACCAGCAGATTTAGCTGGATTAAGAGGATATCAGTGGATTTGGGTAGCGAATGTCGATAGATTCATAAGTATATAGGGGATTTGGATGGATTAGATTTGCATGATTAAAGGATGGGATTAAGTTGGATTTAGATGAATATTGGAATTGTGGGAAATCTATGAATAAGAGAAATTGTTTATAGTTGGATATCAATGGAACAACCTCCAAATCCTCTTAATCCGCCTATATCACTTGATAATTAATCCCCGAAATCCATCTTAATCTCCCTAATTCCTCGATAACCACCATAATACTGCAAATCTTGTATATTCCCCTTAATCCCAGAATATCTGACATCCCCGATATCTCCCAAATCCACTGATATCCTCTTAATCCAGCTAAATCTGCTGGTTTCCTCATTTATCTCCAAATTTTCGATATTTCATATAATCTTCACACGAAAAAATGAAAATTTTTGGACGCACTAGTTTGGGTATGGTAGGAATTACGAATTTATTCACTGACGGATTGTCCATTGACGGATTGTCCTACCACTGACGCATTGTCCACTGCCGGATTTTCCACTGCCGTATTGTCCACTGACGGATTGTCCGAGAGCCTTTTAAATTATACTTCAGATAATTTCAACTTTAATCTACTTACCTCAATAATTTTAGTAATAAATGGTTCAATGAAATTCTTGTAATCTTCCAGATTATTAATTTTTGGTTCTTTGCGTCCAGTCTTCTGTGAGCCTTTTGTAATGAAGTACATCTGAAATAAAAGAAAGTTTTGGCTAATTTTTAGCAAGGGAAAATTTAAACGAGTTAAGTTCCAATTAAAATTCAAATTTTTGTCAAAAAGCCCCGCCCGTCGGCCTTAAAGTATTTCATGTCTTATTTAAAGTATCAAGAATTCACAACTTGAAAATTTATTAAAGTTTTAAAACTGTTGGGTATATGGAGGATATCAATAATTGATTAGGATCCTATTTGAAATTTTTATTTATTGGAAAATTTTCTTTAATTAATAGAAGGAGATGACAAACCGTGTTGGATTTAGCATCAACACCTCCACTAAGAAAATTATGCACACCAATAAAATCTTCTTTCTTGTGTGTCAGGGCATTTAATTTACGTTCATTAACAAAAGAGGTCATGGAGTTACGAGAAATAATAATTCCCTATAAAAAAAGAAAAATAAAAATAGATTATTTAATAGGGTTGTACTCCGTCCCCTCCCCAAAAGTCGGGGAATTTGAGAGTAGCATGGAATTTATTTTCTGATTATCTAACTGTTTTGTTTCGTGATAATGATTTTAAACTTCTAAATTATTTTTCATCTCATCAAAATTTTCGCCTGCAGCACAAACAAGGAAGAAGGCTGTTGCGTGGTCTTCCAAAATTCTCAAAATTATCGCCGTAAAAATGGAAAAAATTATTTGATTCCCCGAAATTTCTACTAGAAAATTTTCAGCACTGCCCCGTCCCGTGTCGATGCCTCCCTGAGACATTTTTTAAAAAGAATTCCCCCCCCCCCCCACGTCGGGGAACAACATTATTATTTAAGGTCTTTTATCGCTCACATTTTTAGTTGATCTGTAAAGAGAATCCGCACAAAAATCCATAAGTTCAGGAACACACGGAAATTCACTTGAGAACTCAGCATTCACAATTCCCATAACCGCTTTTGGCTCCTTGCCTATATCGAAACTTAACGTCTTGCTTGCACAGAAATCTGCTGCTAATGGGCCCAAAATTCCAGAACAATCAATTTTAAATGAATATCCGGTTTCCTCCAAAACTCGAGGTTCACCTTAATAAAATGTTTAATAATTTTACAAGAAAAAAAATAACCAAAAGCTGAAAACTTGTCAGCAATTAACATGTCCACATAATAGTTGAGCTTTTGCAAACCCTCGCTAAAAATATAATATTTTAGTAGTTAAAGTGAATTAGAAGAATTTAAATTTTAAAACCGAATAGTTAAAAATTAAGGTTACCTTGAATATCCAAAAGTATCACAAAAAGTCAAATACTTTGCCAATACAGAAGAATGATGTTCGGAAGCACCCAACTTTTGCAAGCATTGCGAAATAAACTGATATACCTAAGAAGAAATATTTGTTAATTATTCAAGAATTAACTCAAAATCTAATTAAACCGACTTATCATATAAATGTTTATTTTTCCATTATTAAATCTATATCTAGTTATAAGGGAAATCTCAGTTTTAAGCGCTAAAAACACATTTTTAGCGCATAAAGTTGGCAAAATAACTATCAAAAAAAAACGCCGCCACTCGATTTTTCTTATTGCGTCATAACATATTCTTATTCATAAATGAATGAACGTTATTTCTGCAAAAAAGTATACAGTAGTTGAATAGTCGTCAAAAACAAAAAGGATGTATTGCTTAAACAATTTTAGGGTAAAAACTCACTTAAACTAAATGGTGCGCTCAGCAGCTGGGTATATGCTATAGAAGTTATTGAAGATATGAAACAATAAGAAATATCGAGGGCAAGATTTATCCTTCTGGAGTTGTTTTGACAAAATGCATCCGAGGGGGAAAACAGTAAACACTACTTTCATAAAAAAATAAAAACCTCATGTCTATGAGCAACAACAAAATCCCCTCCATAATCAACAAATTCACGATGATTTGTCCTACAATGTACCGACCAATTTGAAGCAAAACTTCCACACTGTGGGCAATGTCCATCTTCTTGTTGAGAAAGTAATATTTTTGCATTTTTCCTTCCTGGTGATTCTTCCGAGACACGCTTTGCCCTTTTGCCGGTAGAACTTCCTTCTAACAAATCTAAATTTAAATGTGAAATTGTTTAACATATAATTTAGTTTAGCATTAGAAATATCTAACACCAGGATCGCCTACAGAAATATTTGGCAAGAAAAGCACTTAAAAAGCGCTGACCCGATTTTATTAAATAGTTGCCAATCTTAATAATAAAAAACGACAGGACAGCCATGATTCTGGTTGTAAAACCAAAAAACTTGAGTTTTTATCTGAATCGAAGTCGACAAATGTGGCTCCCCTGTATAAGGAGGCAGTAAGCTTTATTCAATCCACTATAGTAAATTTGCTTTCCCCGTGGTTTTTAAAGATTTAGGGACTCCGATTCAGTCTCTAATTCGGCAATCCAGGAGAAATAAGAAAAAGGCAATCCTTTTTCTTATTTTCAAGATTTTTTTCCGCAGGGACCCTAATTCTCCTGGATTGCCTCTAATTCTACTTAATCCTACTTTATTAGATTCAGTTTTCATAAGTTCCGACACCTAATTGTCAAACTTGGGTCCAGAAACAAAGGAACCCAAAAAGATCTTTTCATTAAAAATGCTATAACTCTATTGTTAAAAAAGAATACCAATGTCAGCCTCCCGTTTTCTTGTTTCCTTCTGAGGAGTATTAACAGCTTTTTCAACTTGCTTATTGGAATTGTCAGTTTTTTTGGATTCATCGTCAGCCATTTTATCAAAATAAGTCTAAAAAATATTTTTAATAAAATGTGTCGAAATGAAAAGAAAAAAATAAAAGTTTAGGTAAAATATATGGGGTGTTTATCAAAACCTAGTCTCCCGCCAAAGTACTAGTAGAGTCAAACTCAAATAGACACCAAGATCAGTCGGGACACGCGCGCGTGGCTAATAGAATGGCACAGGCAGGCCCGTAGCCAGGGGGGGGGGGTGGGGGGGGGGAATTCCCCCCCCCCCCCCCGAAATGGGAAAAAGGAAAAAATTTGGGGAAGGGCTGTGGCAAAAAAAGTGAATTTTTTCGGCCTACGGCCTCTGAAATTTAAAAAATTTTCGCCTGCGGCGCTGAAAATCAAAATTTTGGCGCCTGCGGCGCCGAAAGAGTGAATTTTTTTGGCCTACGGCCTTCTAAAATTCAAAAAATTTTCGCCTGGGCGCTGAAAATAAAAATTTTTGGCGCCTTCGGCGCCAAAAATTTGGCGCAAAAAATTCCCCCCCCCCCCCCCCCCCGAAAAAAAATCCTGGCTACGGGCCTGGGCACAGGCGCCGATCTGGCGCAGAGTTTGGCGCAAGGCAGCTATTTTTATTTGTAAAGGTTGCTCACTGATGTTTGCACAACAATAACAATTTCGAACCGACACGCAATTGTTATTCTGAAATAGGCGCGGCACACCTAGGCGCGGCAAAACTGGGCGCCCACTTATTTCTTCCCTAAAAATTTTTTTCTCATTTTTTTGTTCTGATTTTTGTTCCCTTTATCCCCTTCATTCCCCTCGACTCAGCTGGAAGAGCTCTTCCAAATGATATACTATATTTGCCATAAAAAGAGTAAGGAAAAAATGGAGGAGGGGGTCTAAACCAAAATATTACCAAAATTTGTGTTAATCAGAAGGTTAAAGGTCTTCAGTCAATATATTAAGGGTGTAGGTCTTCAAGGTTAACCCCGTTGGAACAACCTCCCGTCGTGGAATAACCATAGTTGAACATCTTAACCAGAAGAAAATCAGCCTACAAACCAGAACAAAAAATCAGAACAAAAAAAAAAGAAAAAAAAACCAGGACAAAAAAATTAAAAAAAATAGAACAAAAAAATCAAACAAAACATCAGAACAAAAAACCTTAAAAATATTTGGGAACGCCCGAATAGGCGCGGGTCAAGTAGGCGTGACCGAGTAGGCTCAGGCCAAGTAGGCGCATGCCAAATAGGCGCAAGGGCAAATTTTTTTGGTTTTCTCATATTCAACTTGTTTGTTGTCATTGCAATTTTTTCAACTAATTTTGTTAATTAGTTAGCTTAGTCAAGTAACTCAATTATGACGCTAACTTTCTCAAGTTTAGCGTCTTTTAAGGAGCCGAAACATGCTCGTCATGTGCTCATCGTTTACAACAAAACCAACCCAACTCCTTTTTAATTTTTTGATAAAACTTAGATATTTTGGCAGGGATGGGTTCGAATACAGAGATGGGAATGAGGCGTAGAAAATTTTTCTTTTTAAAAATAAATGGTTTTAAACTTTTATTTTAATTTTAAATTTATTTTTTTAGTATTCTTAACCTGAAAAAACATTAAACGTTTCAATTTAGTTATGAATTTTCAAAATTATCGCCTGCGGCGCAAAAAATTTAAGAGTTCTGCCGTTATAATTTTTTAATGGGCTTTCGAATGTTAGAAATTAATACTTTTACACACAAGTACGTAATATACTAATTTACACTCAATATAAAATTTTTATTTAAGTGTTATGAAATTTCACCATCTTGTCTAAGTTTAAAGTTTCCTTGTATAAATTCAAAATTAACTGAAGAACATCTTTAAATTCTTGATGGTAGTCTTCAAAAGCAATAAATTGAATATTCTAAAAGTAAAAAAATTGTAAAATAATAAATGATACGACATTTTGACTCAAACTTATTATAAGCGACCACTTATAAAACATCAATTATGGGTAATACCTCGTAATTACTCGATATTAACTTTTAGTTTATTGGATAGATGTCATTGATTCGGCTTTTGTCTTTCTCTTCTATCCAAGTTGGCTTATTCTAAAACACCATAATAAGGTGCCGCTCACAAAGGAACCATTAATACATAGCTTGTATTAATTTTCGGATTTTCGAGCATAATTTATTTTTAGTTTTAAAATTTATTTTCTTAACAGTAATTTAATAATACATAAGAAACCGGCTTCAATTTGCGTCTTCAATTTTCCCTACGTTATATAAGCGGAACAAGAATTACAGCAAGGGGAATGAGTCGGGTTTGAAAAAGGAACAGGATTT